TTCGAAGTCCATAGATGAAAACCAACTTTGGCATAAGAGACTAGCTTACCTTTCTGAAGTTATCTTGTCTAAATTGTTTCCAAATTTTTGTAAATCTTATGTCACTTGTGATACTTGTCAAATTCGACCTTTTGGCAATTCAATGTCTAGGACAAGTAAACTTTTTGAAATGGTGCACACTGATGTATAGGGACCAACAGCTGAATCAATAAAAGGGTTTAAGTACTTTGTCTTAAATGTTGATGACTTCTCTCAAATATGTTTTGTGTACCTTATGAAATCAAAGAGTGAAGTCCAAACTATTTTCAAAGACTTTCATATGCATGTTAAAACAAAATTTCAATCAGACATTAAGGTGTTGAGATCTGATAATGGCACTGAATTTCTATCCAACAACATGCTTCAATACATAAGTTCTCAGGGCATAATACATCAAACCAGCTGTGTAGGCACTCCACAACAAAATGGAGTAACCGAGAGAAAAAATAGAGATCTCTTAGAGAAGACTCGTGCCCTCATACTTCACATGCATGTTCCAAAGAAATTTTGGTCATTTGCTATCCTCACTACCACTTACCTCATCAACCGACTCCCAAGTTTTGTCCTAAGGTTTAAATCTCCCTAAGAAGTTCTTAAGGGTAGAAAAATTGATTTGACACACCTTAAGGTATTTGGATGTGTTTGCTTTGTTCACATTCAATCCTTGAACTGTGACAAATTGATGCTAGGGCAACCAAGTGTGTGTTTGGGGGGTATTCTTCCACCCAAAAAGGATACAAGTGCTACAATCCAGCCACTAAAAAGTTCATTGTGTCAAAGGATGTGAAGTTTGAAGAAGATTGTCCTTATTTTACTCACAAGGGGAATACTACAAGTCAGGAAAAGGAACTGTTTGAAATGTTTCCACTCCCTTAGAGCATTAATAATCCAGTCTTGGAAGAAAGCTCAGTTACTATGATACCAGACATTGAAGAAGCATAATCTGATTCAATCACTACTAGCCCTATTCCTGCCAATGAGAGAGACGAGGAGTCTCATTCTGGTCATTCACAATCCCCTACAAAGTCTTAAGTGATTAAAATCATCCTCGAATCAGAAAACCTCCAACTAGGTTGCAATACTATGTTACTTATGCCTCACGGTATCCTATCATTGAATGTATCAGCCTTGGTAAGTTCTCAACATCTCATGCTATGTTTCTCTATGAAATTGATAAACACAGTGAACCTAGAAGCTTTCAAGAGGCATATCTCCTTCCACAATGGAATCAAGCCATGACAGATGAGCTTCGTGCTCTAGAAGAAAATAAAACTTGAAGCTTGGTCCAACTACCACCAAGAAAAAAGGTTGTTAGAAGTCGTTGGATTTACAAGATTAAGTTCAAGGCTGATAGTTCTATTGAGAGACACAAGGCTAGACTTGTTGCTCAAGGTTTCACCCAAACCTTTGGGGTAGATTACAAAGAAACATTTGCACATGTGACCAACATGAATTCAGTAAGGGTTCTACTTTCAGCTGCAATTTATTGTGGGTGGACTTTTTATCAAATGGATGTGAAGAATGCTTTCCTTCAAGGACAGTTACAAGAAGAAGTGTATATGCAACCTCTTCCAGGTTCTTATGATATTAAAGGCAACTTGGTTTGTAAGCTACATAAGGTAATCTATGGATTGAAACAATCCCCAAGAGCTTGGTATGCCAAGCTCAGTTTAGTTCTAGAGAAGGCTGGATTCCTACGAAGTAATGTTGATTCCTCATTGTTTGTAAGAACTGGTACTGGGAATTTGGTGGTGCTTATCTATGTGGACGATCTCATCATCACAGGAAATAGTGCTACTGAAATTGAGGCACTAAAGTTCTCACTACGTCAAACCTTTGCCATCAAAGATCTCAGGAGGCTAAAGTATTTTTTGGGCATCGAAATGGCAAGCTCTTCAAATGGGCTATTTCTACATCAACGAAAATATGTTTTGGACCTTCTTTAGGAAGCAAAAATGCTTGATTATAAACCTGCAATCACTCCCGTGGATTGTAAACTAAGGCTCCTGATAGGAGCATATTTATGTGACTTTTGTTATCTTATTTCTTTGCATTTACTTAGTTAATTTCCAATTATTTTGGTAATTTAAGTTATTTTCATATTATTGTTGGTTCAATTGGTAAAGATGACAATAAATAGCTAAATGGAGTAGTTTTGGATCTCGATTGGATAGTATATGGGCTGGATGCTTTTGGTGTTGAAATGGTGCTAGATATGAGCTAAAATCTGGAGAAATTAAAGTTGAGGCTTGGAAGGAAGGAATTAGACAAGAAAGAGGAATCCTAGTTGGAGAGGAACATTATCTTGTCTTATCTTATCCAATCTTATTCTACCTTCTCTTATCTTATCCAATCTTATCTTATCTTATCTCCAGCTGCAAGGAGGAATCCTAATCACATTCCAACACTCTCTACCTGATTTTTAGAGTCCTAAAATAATTCAAAATGCCAAAACCTTTTCCTCTTTGGATTTAGCCGTTCCCCCTATATATATGAAATTCGTGTAGCGATTTAAAAGGGTGCCATGCCTACCATTCACCCACTGAAGTTGTTGGAATTTTCAGAGTTCTTTCTATCTTTATTTTAAGTTTTAATTTTTATTTTAGATTGTTCTCAGTTATGTTGAACATGTGTAACTAAGTTTCTTTTTAGCTAGAGGTGAATTCGAAGCCATGATCATATGTTTAATATAAATTGATTACGTCCAATTATTGTTTCATAAAACATGAATGCGATTTACTTATCTGCTTTATAGAAAATTTATTCTTGTATATTATTAAGGGTGCACACTTAGTTTGCATGCAGGGATTTGATGCTAGAATATAAGGGAATTTCACGTAATCGTTATGAACTTATATTTGCAAGTTGTAAAAGTCACTAGTCATGATTGATTTAAGTATATTCTTGGCAGGAATATCATGCTTTTCATAGTTATGAATGCCTTGTCAATGCTTATTATTTTCACAAAACTTAATGATCTTTGAGATGTATCTCTATCATACTTTTCATAGTTAGGGAACTTGAGAAGAATAATTTGGTTGCGTTGCTAAGTCCAATTCAATGAACTTAGGAAAATCTGAGAGTTAATTAGTGTTGTTCACAGTTAATTTGGGGCATTGTCATTCATGGTTTATAGGAAGAATAACTGGAAATCGATTTGTATGCATATGATTCATGTGTGGAGAAGAATACTTTAGCTATCCTTTCATCCATATTTCATTCACAACTTAATTTACTTGCTACCATTTAATTTTGTTTTCATTAAATTCGTCCAAAATCTCCTCCCTCCCCTCATTGTTTTGATGTTAGTTTAACTTAGATTTCAGTTTTATAAGTTTAATTTGTGTTGATTAGCATCCCTTCTAATCCCCGGAATAGAATGATCCCTACTTACTCATACTACGATTGCATAATTTATAGGGTTTAATTTATGTGTTAGTTTCTACCACATCAGCTCCACATAGATGGAGAAGCCATGCATGGTGTGGGTTACTATCAACGATTAGTGGGCAAGCTTATATATCTCACCATCACACGTCTAGATATCACATATGCAGTGAGTTTGGCAAGTCAATTCATGCACTCTCCCACTGTTGATCATCTTAACATGGTTAAGAGAGTCCTACGTTATCTTAAGGGTTCGATAGGGCAAGAAATCATCATGCGTAACAATAAGTCCACCACCATTAATGGCTACACAGATGCATATTGGGCAGGGAATGCACTTGATAGGAAATCTACCACGGACTATGGCACGTTTGTTGGTGGAAATCTTGTCACTTGGAAGAGCAAGAAGCAACATGTAATTGCTCGCTCCAGCGCAGAGGTTGAATATCAAGCCATGGTAGCCATTGCCTATGAACTTATTTGGCTTAAAAGGCTTCTTTCAGACTTAGGGTTTCCTATTACTATTCCCATGTCTCTTATGTGTGACAATCAAGTAGCCATGCACATCACTGCTAATCCAGTGTTCCATGAGAGAACGAAACATATTGAAGTGGATTGTCATTTCGTTAGAGCTCAAGTGCAAACTCAAGTCATTAGGACCATCTTCACGTGAAGCCAGGATCAACTAGCAGATCTTTTCACCAAGGCTCTAGCATCTGCTCCATTCCATCATTTTTTGGGCAAGCTTGGCTCAATTAATCTCCTCGATCTAGCTTAAGGGGGAGTGTTGTTGAAGCGTACTCTAGAGTCAGCTACCAAGGTGATCTCTAGGGTAAATCTCTAGGGTAAGGCTCAATGTATTATTGTAAATCAGTTTTCGCTTGAATTAAGGGAGGTGACTGATTGGTGTTAAAGTCTTTGTGTATGATTTAGATTAGGTAGGCACCATGCCTTCTTCCTTCTTGTCGGCTGCTTGCAGCAGCCATCTCTCCCATCTCTCATTCCTCCCTCTTCTCTTTTATAGCCGGTCTCTTGTACATCGAATAATCATCATGAAATACACATGGAAGCTTTAAACCAAAATTATCACAGCTTGCTTTGCAATACTCAACTTGTATTAACTAACTAGGCAATTGGGTAGACTTTATGAAATCTACATGGTCAGTACCTACAAAATAATCTTTTGACAAGCATGAGTGTGATGCGTATAGTCCTGTGCTTGATTTTGAAATATTCTTCCTGGTGGTTTTGTTTCTGTCTGCTAGAGGGACAAAAGCCAGGAAGCTTTTAAGGTTGGCTATTATCAGCAGAAAAGCCTCATTTATCACATTGTCTGGAGAGGCTTCTCTTTACTGTGTTTAATGCAGATATATCCGGGAACGTCTAATGAGAAGGAAATAAATCAGTATCTGTTATGTGTTTGATGCAGAAATATCTAGGAATGCCTAATCAGGAAAAACAAAATCATAACTGCTTTGATCATCACTTCTGCTTTCAGAATAACTAATTAAGGGGAATCATTTTCTATAATAGCTTTCTTGGAACCATAAATTACTGGGAGTTACTTTTACTTGGTTTCCCAAGAGAACCATCTCACTGAAAGGCCTGTAATGGACTGGTGGCTCTCATAGTGCAACGCAACCCACTCAACTCTAGTTAAGATAGTGGCCAGGAAGAAAGCAGGTTATGTGGTATGTTTATCATTGATGACTAAATGAATGGCCAATATTAGGTGCTTTCCTCCTCTTGAACCGGTATGCTTTGGAGAGAATTTAGTAGCAGGTGAACCCATTGAACTTGGTAAACTGAGATGATTGATAATTTAGAAATGAATTGTTCTAGCTGAATGAGTAATTTGAATTTAACATCTAAGGCGTTTTGGTGAAGTGGGGTACTTGGGTGTTCCTCTGGTGTCATGTACTATTCTAATATCCTAGTCAAGATAAACTCTGCGTTCCTTTTGCAATACGATCATCATTTCTTTGCGCCATGATCATATTCTGAAGTTCACATTCCACTTTAAATTTTCGTTAGTTAATTCTACTTTTATATGTAACTGTTCTGTCTATATGTTAGTCATTGTGTATGCCTTTTTCCAGGAAAAACGCAAACAAGATTCAGACCTCCTGTTCCTAATTACGGAAAGAATCCCACTCTCTTAGAGAAGACCTGTGATTTGCTCAGAAATTTTCCAGAATACTTTGATGTGGTTGTCAGTGTTGCAAGAAAAATTGATGGTCGACATTGGGCGGATTTACCGTCTGCTGCTGGGAGATCAACAGACTACTTTTTCTTCGTTTCTCTTGTTTTATTCTTTCTTTTGCCTTCTGATTTGAAACAACATTGCTTTACATTTGCAGTGTATAAAAGGTAACTTCTGTAACAAGGATATTGATGCTCTAGAGAAGTCTTACTTGCATCATTGTCATGCATGAATGTGAAATTTCAGTGATAAATAGACAGAAGAAAAAAAAATCCTCATTAGTCAATCTCATATTTTTAATGTCCTTTATCAATTGTCTACTTCAGAGACCATGGATGCAGTTTTTTATTTTTTCCTTCGGAGGAAAAGGAAAACTTCCACAAATTACAGAACCTAGAAATTGATTATATTTTCTGTTATTCATTTTCTTTTAACCTTATTGTTCTGTGAACCAAATAAATTTTGACTTTAGGATCTTTGAACTTTCTTTGGATAGGTTTATACCATCATAATTACCAATTTTCGCTACGTAATATCATGCGCTAGATATAGGATTGGCTGATTGAGCTGTGATTAATGTTTTACATTTGTTTAGTGTGCTGCTGTCAGATTTTAAATTATCAAGTTGTTATCTGCTTTCAATTTTCAGGTTGTTTGAGGAATGCTTCCAACGTAGATGGTACCGGACTGCTGCCTGCTATATACTTGTAAGATATTGAATAGATTGTTATTCTGCTTCAGTTTCTTATCTTTTCCTTTCCTTTTGACATAAGTTTTTCCTTGGAAAAATTACTTAGAATTTTCCACAGTATAATAATGAGTCTTGCACAGTTTTTTGTTATGAGTGAAAATGCGGTTTAAATGAAACAACCAATGCTTTATCAGATCTGCATTCACGTCTGTGTTCCAGAGTAGAAAATCTTGAAACTTACATGTTGCGCTGTTATTACATATGAACTATAGCTCTTGAAAAATCCGGTGTACCTGTGTTCTGGTTACAAAGTCTGTGCCCACTGCCTATACTTCCTGCAACACTTGCTAAATGTGAAAAACCAATCTGTATGGGAGAAAATGTAGTAAAAGATGGTCAACCTGTGATGCTTATGTATATTAATTCATATTATTTGAATTGCCCAGGTCATTGCAAAGGTTGAAGGTGCTGCAGTCAGTCAATATTGTGCCTTGCGTTTATTACAGGTAGTTGTCTGGTAATAGCTTCTTGTTTTAAAAGGATTTATTGAGTGAGTATCTCCATGTATTTTTTTTTTTTCTTTTCTTTTCAATGGTAGATGTACCTTACGAGGGTTGGCAAACCTATGCAGGCAACACTTGATGAATCGTTATATGAACTCGCTGGGGAGCTGGTATCTATCTGGACAAGTTCCTGTGCTTCTTTTAGTTCAAGTGATGATGGTTGCAAAGGGGATAACACTAACTTTGTTTGACTCTTAGTTGAGGTTCTTGCTGAGATCTGGAAGGGAATATGAACAGCCATCAACAGATTCAGACAGACTATCTCCCAAAATTTTGGGCTATTTCGGTTTCCGTACTAACTTCAGAAAGCAGTCCTTGGATAAGAGGTTGGTGCACACTTATGTACTGTTTTGTATCTCTCAGACCTGGTTTTTTCAATATAATGGAGACTCACCAGGCATTCCTTTCGAGCAGCACCTCATTTAAGGAGCAGAACGCACGTGTTGCTTCCGCGAAGAATATCGTAGAAAGCCATGCTAACCTTTTGATGTCAGGCAAAGAGCTCTCAAAGCTAGTTGCATTTGTGAAAGGCGCTCAGTTTGATTTAGTGGTAAGATAAGCTTGCAGTTATCATTACTCGTTAGGATGATTTAGTTTTTGTAATCAAGTGATTCTAAGTTGTTCTAACAATTTATGCCAGGAATATCTTCAAAGAGAGCGAAATGGAAGTGCTTGGCTGGAGAATTTTGCTTCAGGGCTGGAATTAATAGGACAAAAGGCATCAGAATCTGAAAATCCCTTTATTCAAGTGTTCTTTCTTCTTTTTATTTTTGTTAAGAAATTAAGCCACATTGTCACATCTTACAGAAGTTATTGCGTTTTGCCTTACTGAATGAACATGGTTCTCTTTTTCCAGCTCCAAATGGGTACATACCAGAGCCGGTTTGATGCAGAATTCCTTTTGGCATATCTGTGCTCTGTCAATTTCAAAGAGTGGATTGCTGTCCTGGCCACTCTTTTAAGACGATCTGAGGTACAACACGGTTCATTTGTCAAGTCAATGCCATATGAGGAGCATACCAGCATCATTGTCATTTGCTTTGCTCATTTCATTCACTTCGACATCATACTTTTGTTCCTATGCTTGAGTTCCTTTAGTACGAGTCATGAACAAAATTCATCATAACAACTTGTTCTAGCAGCATAATACTCGTGCAGTCTTAAAGGGTTTAAGTCGTGACCAGGGCATTACCCAGTTGATAGGTAAGAGGAGCCCAAGTTGACGTTGTCCTTTCTCCAGAAGTGTGTGATTTAAAGGGTACAATCCCTGGGTTGGAGTTTGAGGTCTATAATTCCATTGGCATGTAGGAAACACTTAGTATGGGCAAGATGTAGTATAGGCTTTGGCCCATGGCAATGACAAGTGGTGCCGAGGTCAGGACTCAGGATGATGTTTTTGTGTATGTCATGGTTTCGCCTAACCTTAAGCTAACATAAATCATGCTCTTAACTGACAAATTCACACATTTCCACATTTGAGCTAGGCATATTTTTGTTGAAAATTTCTGTACAAGAGCCCAGACGCTTTATGGATGGCCTTTTGACCGCGAGTGATGCCAAATTAACTTTGCACAGGTTCAATTCGATCTTTTCCAGCACGATATGCGGTTGTGGAAAGCATATAGCATCACCCTGCAGGTATTTATTGCTTAAAGTAGTGTTCACATCCGACCAAAAAACCAGTGTCTACATTCCTTGCTCCGTGTGTCTCTAGATTAATGTTGTCCTCTATTGATATATGCTTTTCAGTCACATCCCGCATTAACTGAATACCATGATCTTCTTGGAGATTTGACCAGAGACTGTCATGATGTCATCCACCACAACTTTTGAAGAGAAATGAGGTTATAGTTGGACCTGTAAGTCTGTATCCTGCTTGACAACAAATTGGTGCTCGCTCAGTTGTTTTTCTCCCTGAACATTTCTGTTTGCAGAGTAATGAATGTCGATCCGATCATGTGAAGATCAATAGGCAACTGATTCACACTGGTGCGACATCGAAGGTCTACTCATATAAATTTTTATTTATTACAATAATCAAATTACCGGTCTCACTGGAATTAGATAGTCTTGTAGAAAAAATGATGGCTGGAAACTTCTGTTAGGGAGTTCTATATGATGTCTTTGTTTGAGTTTTATGCAAGGTTCTAAAAGACACTAGGCACTAGTCGGGCAGCAGGCTGGGGCATAGCGCCTGGGCGGATTTCAGTAAGAGTCGTAACCTAGGTGGGTGCCTAGGTGGGTTTAGTTGGGCTAGGCAGACGCCTAAGCGGGTTTAAGCACACTTTCTTCATTTTCAAACGCCTAGAGACTAATCGGGATGATGACCAACCGTCTAGCCTAGGCAGGGATTTTTAGAATAGTGGTTTTATGTTTAGTTTTTTTCTTCCTTCGTCACGTTTTGTATAATTTCTTTTTAGGTAGTATTCTAAGGCTGTTTTATATGAGTTACATGGGCAATTTTTGCATTTTTTTAAGCAGATTTGTTTTCTCTCAACACTTTGCTTGGTGTTTGGTCTTGTATCTTGGGTGTCCAGAAACTTTAGTCTAAGTGCATGCTGGTTGGCGGCATCTTCAATTTTTTGTTCCAGCCTCAATATTAATATAATAATTTGAATCTACATACTCAGTCACTTCACATGTGGATTAATTTCTAAGATATGTAAGACAACGTCAGTACTTACGATGCCTTGTGATGACTCAAACTCTTTTTGTTCTTAATGATTTCTACTTGTTAAATCTAGAACATGTCATTCTAGATTGCATGCTAGGAACTAACTTAAGTCGAAAATACCATTTTCTTAACATACCACGTAAGAGAGTAATAAGTTGAGTTCTAACAGTCAGCCAACTTGAGCATCTTCATCTGGAAATAATGGGAATTTGAATGAAACATAACATGTTTGCATGATTATTTGGCGGTGGATTGCATTTTCCCTAATTCGTTTTCTTAATTTGTGAACTAAAATTTGTTTTCGTTATTTTATCATTGTCGTTGTTCTCTTTTTGTTAGATTTAATTAAAATAGCAAATCAACTCCAAAAATCCCAAAAATTTGTGTACTTCTATGCGTCTAGTGTCTAGTGTCTGCCAGAAAGATCCTTATTTTCATATGTTACAATTGACAAATCCTAATGTTAATAAAGAAAATCATTTGAAATTTTTGTGCTGCTTTGTGGTTTGCCCTATCAGATATAACCTAAACAAATTCCTTATTATTTGCATAAATTACTAACAAGTAGGACTATTACTTTTAACAAATTATCCAAAAGATACAAAACTGAGACATGCATATTAACATGATAAAGTAATAAATACCTTATCAACAATTAAACCAAAAATATCCAGTACATAAAAAATTATAAACCAAAACAAGAGTCGGATAAACAGCAAAAAGCTGTTGCAGTGAGAACTGAGAGTGTGACAAGCTACCCAGCTGAGCAATCGCTGGGCCTCCAGTGTGTAAGGTAGCACGAAATCGATGCAACTTAGACTGCGGTATTATCTGGAAACGTTCTCTTGCCAAACGGCCTAACATGTTTTGCTGCTAGATTGTGAACGGGAACCATTGATTTAGTCGAATCGTGTTAGAATATCTGACAAGAGTTCATTACTCGTTAGATTGGCAAACGTGAAAGTTTTACATTACATATACAACCTATCACCTATAGAATAACAATACAACATTCATTTTCAAACTCAAAACCTACAAAACATCAGCTGGTAGTTATCGATCCTGTACTGCTGTTTTACTTAACCGAAAGCTGTGTGACTCCATGCTTGAGATTAACTTCTGCAACATCTGTGGGAAGTTTCGACCATCCCACGAATTCCTTCCCACTCATCCTCCTTCGTATGACCAGTGATATACTCAGCAGTAAACAGGCGGCAGCAACCAAAGGAACCGCCGCACCAACATTTCCACTTGGCCAGTTCCTCAAAACCCACCCGGCACAATGCTCACCATCAAGACTCCCCATTGAGTTATTCAACCTCATGATTTCAATGCCATTCAAAATCCCATCGATGGCATAAGGCACACTCATATTCGAAGGTCCTACACTTACTGACAGAACACCTGAATCCTCTCCATCAACCACAAAATCCGCATAGAACGGAGAAGCCAACATGTAATTCGCAGCCATAGACAAATCCAAATTCTCATATGCTAATTTCCCATTCACATAAACATTGAAATACAGCAATCCAATTGAAATACTAGCAATGTCACAAAAATGCAACCGAACAAGATACTTATATCCTCCAACGGCTGCAAAAACCCATGTCATATTGACATGCGGAATCAAAGCATTCGCACTATGAATCACCCGGGCCGTATTATACACATTATCGGGACCAACTTCCCTGCTAGGCCCTCCACCCTGATACTTAATCCGGCCACCAAAATACAGCCTGTTCGACCCAGAATCCGATTCCAAATACTCATCATCAGTAACCCAAGTCCTCCACAGGGTATCATTAAACGGGGTGACTTTAGAACCTCCCACATTAACCCTATACACAACCTGAAGCGCTTGCTTAATTAGCCCATTAAAACCCTCAACTTTCTCATCACTCACAAACTTCGCTGTATCAGCAACGAGATCCTTCGGCGCAGAAATCACCTCAATCGCATTCACAAACGCAAAGTATGATTTTTTAGCAGGAACAAATTCGATTACAAGCTTTTTCGAATCGACCCAGATCAAGAACTCCATAACAACGGGGATTTTTGTAGCTCTAAAGTCGGTCAAAGCCACAAACCCATTGACCAAAACATGAAATTGAGCATCATTCCAATCCAATTTCAAAGAATTAAAGGTCTGGAAATGGAGGCGTACCAAATGGGTCCCTGGGTCGCGGATCTGGAACTCGTATTTCGACGGCCGCCGGAAAGCCCTGGCCGTGCTGTAGATTTGGGGCGAATTGGGAACTGGGTTTTCATTTCTGAGCGGGATGGAGCGAGTTGAGGAGGAGAGGGACGAACCAGGGTTGGACGAGTCGGGAACGAAGCGGCGATTGTCGACGGTGGATTCCGCGGTGGAGCCGCAGTCGACGAGGTAGATGTCTATGGGAGCGAAGTAGGAGTGAGACAGGGCGGAAAGGGTAGAGAGAGAAAATAGCGAGAGAGAGAAAAGGAGCTTTCTGTACGGAAACTCCATGGGAGGGAGTCTGGAGAATTCAGAAATGGTGGAAGAGGAAGAGCGAGACTTGAGTTTCGAGGGCTGTGGATCTGCTGTCCCGGATTCCATGTCTCCTTGGTGTCTCTTTGTTTAGTTTGTGACACGTGTTTTACAATTTAACCCCACAAAACACTGTTACTTTTTATAAAATAAATTAGCATATAGGCACAAAGTGTGTGAGAAAATTTTTTATTTTTGCTTTTGAAATAGAAGGGGAGAGGAAGATAATGATAGAGAATGTAAGAGTGAAAAGTTTTTTATTTTTTATTTTTTAATTAAAGATATGTTAGGATTACAAGTAGTTAAAAAAAGGGGTTTTTTGAAATGGATCCAAAATAACTAAAAATTGAATCTATTTCAAAAATCAAAAGTCACTAAAAATTGGACCTATTTCAAAAGATAGTCTATAAAATTGGACCTCTTTCAAATTTTCCCTTAAAAATTTGAAAAAAAAAAAAAAGTAAAATTTGATTGTGTGAAATTACATTTATACCCTATATTTCTTATTCATGTTCTGTTTTAATTAGAAAGTTAAACTAGTAATTTCATAAATTTTTTACTTATAATAAGTGTTTTATTAATCAGTAGAGATTATAAAAATTCAAAGAAATAAGAAAACCATCCACCCCAAAACTCCCGATACCCAGAATTTTTGTAGTTGAACTTTTCACTGATGACCGGTGATTTAGAAGTCAACCTACCATTTCTCTCCCAGGTGTTTTTCTCCCTCTTGAAAGTTGCATAACATTGCTATCATGATTTGATCAGATATGGAAAAGGGCAAAAAAAAAAAAAAAAAAAAAAAAGAAAGCAAACTAAACAATAAGAGCATCGGCCGTTTTGCTCCCAATTGCAGAAACGCGTGGGCTCCAGCCACCGATCTTGCCGGTCTCTTTATTCACCAACACATCGTCGCCATCTTCTTCTTCAGTTTGATTTTCGAATTTTTCTACTTTGCTCTTTGCTGGGTTTGCGATGGCGAGGCGGACAAGCATAGAAGCCGAGGGCTAGGTTAAGTTCTAAACGATTCGATTTTTTGTCAAAACCGAAATTTCGGTTCGGTTCAATTTTTTTTCGGTTTTTTCTCGGTTCGGTTTTTTTTTTTCCCCTCCAAAAAAATGAAAAATTTTGAAACATGAAATTTTAACATTTCCAATACAATCATAACATAGGAGTTTGTTGAGTTGCCACAATGAGGAGTTGAGGTGGAATTGATTCACCAACAATGTCCTTCAAAAATAAGAGAAAGAATCATTACAATTAATTGTTAAATAAATTGAGACTTAAGAACCATAGAGAAAGTATAGAGATGACAACTTACTTGCGATAGAGTAGAAGTAGATGAGTTTATTTTTTTCACAGGAGCTATTTGATGATCTCATTGAATTTAAGCTTGGGCTTGAGACCTTTGATGCACTTGACTTCATCTAATTAAGATACAAAACATATAATAAGTAAAGGTAGGATGCACATAATAAGCAAGGTCTATGACTATAATCCTTCTATGTAAAAGCAAACTCTATCACTATAATCCTAAAATTCAACAATTGGAATTCGTTTTTCTGTAACAATGCAGCATATAAAACATAAAAGCTAGGGATGCACATAATAGTAGCATGCAGCATAGTATCTTAAGAAACATACAACTCACCACTGACAAAACACCTAAATACTAATTAATAAAGCATGGAATTGGAATGTAATCTGCAATTTCATAAAGCACTAATCCAATCAGTTTAACTAGTATGGAAGCTTGAAGCTTTTCATTTAGTTTATTATCTTTAAGGAAGATTGTTATTATAATTAATATCAAATCCACTTAAATTTTCAGACAAACAGAATACGTTATGAGACCCCGCCACTTTGGATGAAATTCAATATCCAAGGAAATCAATAAAACTCAATATCCAAAGCAATCTTCAAATTAATTAGAATAACAACCAAAGATGCAATCCTCCTCCCACTTCAATTAGTTTATTATCTTTAACGATGCAACCAGCAATTCTCCTCCCCCTTCTGCCGTGGGTCGACACCCAATTTTCCCAATTCAATAACCCTAATTTACCCAACAACCCCAATTTCTCCAATAACCCACATCGACACTCCCCACTCTCTTCATGGACTCAGAAAGGCTCACACTATACCGAGAAAACCCTAGAGTGAAAGCTGCAGAACCAAATCCAGCATACCCAAAACAAATTGCAGAACCAAAATTTCTCATAAATTAATCAAACCTCAACTAATAGTCTAATAGTGTTCAGAAATGAAATTACCCAACCAAATCCAGCATACCCAAAACAAATTGCAAAGCCCATGAAATTGAAAAGCTACATATTAGAACCAATGAAATTGAAAACAAAAATTTCTGCAAAACGTAACTCATCATGGGAGTGAGAGACTAACCTTGCAAAGGAGGGAATTTGTGGGTTGGGACTCGAGACTAAAAAGGGCGAGAGGAAGTCGTGGGTCGCGGGTCACGGGGGTGAAAGATTGAGAGTGAGATAGCGACGGCAAGATGTGAGAATTTGAGACAGGTCGCAGGTCGCTGGGAAGGAAGAAGATGAAGTTGAAGAACGGCTGAGCTAAGAAGGAGATGGTCCAAAGTGAGAGTACAGAGGAGAGGGATAAGGGAAAGGGAATGGATCGATCTGTTTAGGGTTTCAGACTGAAAAAGTCACTACAAACATGACTGAACGACGCCGTTCAAGGAAAAAAAATATTGATTTATACTTAAATATAAAATGACGTCGTTTTGCCAATACTTCGGTTCGGCCCGGTTTTCGAACCCCAGAAACCAAACCGAATTGAACTAGATTCGGTTTAATCCGATTTTACAGTTTCACTTTTGTTTTTTTCAGTCTCGGTTCGATTTTTGGTCCCCTTTTTTTCGGCTTTTGGTTTTTTGAACCCACCCCTAGCTCTCTCCATGCCTGGGTTTTTAGTTTTTATTTATTTATTAATTAGTTTTTCGGGTAAATATCAGTTTACTACCCTCATGTTTTGTGGTTTTCAACATTTAGTACATCAAGTTTTTTTGTCCCAGAGTCATACCTAAAGTGTAAATTTTGGGACAGTCTCATACATCTGTTAGTCAAATTGTTAAGTCTTCCGTTAACTGATGACACGGTGCCCACGTGGACAATGAATAGGCGCCACGTGTCAATAAGGGTCCCACGTGGATATTAAAAAATAAAAATAAAAATAAAAAATTACAAAATTACAACAACAAAAAAAAAATGTTCTTCCTCAACCCTCGACCGTCCCTCCCTTCTCAGCCTCCACCCATATGTGCAAATCTGTACTCGCGAGCTCTCACTCTCTCTCTCCGGTAAACCACATCCAAGCTTTCTTCACATACCTTTTTCCCAATCCCTAATTTTTCCCCAAATCACTTCCAGTTATGTAACCCCACCTTTCAATTCAACCTTACCGTCGCCGATTCACCATCATCAACCTTCGCAATGGCATCCATCGCTTACTAGGGTTTTCGAGATCCATCTCATCATTCTCCGAGAGCACACTACACCACTACCTCACCAACCTAATCAAACCTCCACGTGGGGAATTGCTTAGGATTTTACAAATGCTGGGTCAGGTCTTGGGTATTCAGATCTAACCAGAAGCCCAATATCGACCCCTATGTCCCCGTCCGCAAATACTAGACGCAATTCTCCAGCTTGAAGCCTTCGTCAGCCGTCGTTTGGCCCTTGCAGTCGCTGTGCTCAACCCTCGCCGAGAAGATTCTAGGTGAAAGCATAAGAGTATGATCGTGCTGGTGTTCATCTGGCTTCAGAAGTCAACAGCTATCGCCACCGGCGTCTCTTCGAGTCCGGCCACCATGGGGATTTATCCATTTGAAGCCGGTTCAATCGTACCCTTTTTACAGGTATCGAAATGGCTGCCCAGCAACGGGGAAGTGGATAAAGGTAGAACATTGTATATGGACAATGTTGCTGAGGCCTTGCAACTGGGAGCGTGGGTACGGGTTGCAAATAAGAGAATGGGGTGTGGGTATGAGTTATAGAGGAAAGAAAAGAGGGTAGTACGGGTGCAGAAGAGAGAAGGGAAGGAATGGGTGCGGGTTGCAGAAAAGAGAAAGGAGGGAAAGGGTGCAGGGGAAAAGGTGGGTATGGATTTGCTCATCTCCCATGGTAGAGAGGATGTGCAGAGGATGAGAAAGATGAGGGTTAGAGAGAGAAAGTGGAGATGGTGTGCGGAGAGGGTGTACAGAGGCGGAGAGAGAGGAAGGTTAGAAAAGGGAGGGAGAAGAAGAAGATGTTCGAAATCCTACCCGAAATTACAAGGTGGTGTGCGTGGTAGCACTATTAGCCAAACAACTAACTTCCTCATTGGTCATACCTAGAAATAAATTAATTGAATTAGTCACATGCATAAATATAATTTCATTCATTCAATTAATTAATCTAGAAATAATATCCATAAAATAATTATCCATAATTCAAAACAAACCAAAACCAAACAAATAATTCCAAAGAAAGAAAAATTGTCCAAAAATTAAATCATAAACCTAGAAAATTAGGGGGGGTTTCGGTCACACCTAGTGGGTTCGACCACTAAGGGTGTAAAACATCCTAACATGTCTTAGAAAAATAAAACTTTATTCTTCCATGGAAGTGGATGCCTCCTGAAAATCTGAAACCTCCATAGTTGTAGTAATATCTTTGGGATGTTCCACATGCACAAAGTTAGTCTCATGACGGGAATGATACTTGGCAATAGCCTTGGGTGTAGCTCGGCATACGCATAACCAATGATCCTTTGATCCATAGTGGTAACACATGTCCAGTTTAGTGGAAGCCGATTGAACAATAGCTTTTCCCTTGTTCTTGAAGTTTTGGGCCTTAGGGGGCAAGGGGTTGGCGCTTTTGGGTCAAATATCCTTCTTTGGGTGGGCTTCTGCTCTATTGAGCTTAGGCTTGTGGTAGGGCTTGTCGCCCATTTCCGCGGCCACAATAGGGTTTTTGTTGATTGTGGCTGCTAGAAATCATCGCATGCGCTTCAGGCAGAACGTTCGAGCCAGTAGGTCGAGCTTGATGATTCTTCATCAAAAGCTAGTTTGTCTTTTCAGCGAGAAATAAAACAGAGAT